GGTGGATTCGCGTGCGGCTCAGGCTCTGGTCTGTGGTCTCAGGATGACCACACGCCTTCACGAAAAAGCTCATCTTGTTTTCATTATATGTTGGTTTGAAAAAGTGGGAAATAAGTGATCCTGTGTAGGGAGTGATCGTTCCAAATATCTTTTAAGACAAGTCTGTGGCGCGGATGGCAGCCTCCCCACATCTGGAGGGTTTGGTTCCAGGGTTGCTTACTCTGTCTGTCTTACTCACGTCTGTGCCGTCGCTGATACACAGCACGTGTTTTGCCTTGTGTCGCTTTCCAGTGCTTGAGTGCCTCTTTGCTTTCAGTTCTTCGTGGCGTCGGATCCGACAGTCAAGACGGATCGGCTGTGGCATGAGAAGTACTCGCTGAGGAAGTCAATGGTGCCCTCCTTCATGACGATGGACCAGGCACGGAAGGTAGGCCGAGGGCCCCGCGCCACGCGGCACCACCAGCCTTCAGCGTGCGCAGCTGTGTTGCTCCTGTGGGCCTCACCGTCTTGAGGCGCTGTGCGTGCGTGCTGTGCCGGCAGCAGTTCCCGGCCCCTGGGGCCCAGCTGGCCCTGTCGCAGGCGCTCCTGCTCCTGCTCCAGCTTCAGCGGGACAGCCTTGCTGCTTGCGAGTGTCTGTGTGGCCGTTTAATCTGTATCAAGGTAACTCTAGGGTGTTTGCCTCTTTCAGGTCCTTTTGATAGGAAAATCAATAAATTTCCTGCACCAGGTGTGTCACGACCAGACTCCCACTGCCAAGATGATAGCTGTGACCAAGTCCGCAGAGTCGCCCCAGGACGGTATGATGGCGGTGCTGGGGGTGTGGCCGTGTGGCCGGTCGGCGATGCCGCGTGCAGGTGTCGGGGTGGCTCCTGTGTGCGTGAGCCTTCAGCCTCCCCTGCGTTAAATACAAATCATGTACATGTGGGTACTTTTCCCTTCTGGTCTTTACAGCTGCAGATTTACTCACCGATTTGGAAAATGCATTTCAGGGGAAAATTGATGCAGCTTATTTTGAGACCAGCAAGTATCTGCTGGATGTTCTCAATAAAAAGTACAGCCTGCTGGACCACATGCAGGCCATGAGGCGGTACCTGCTTCTCGGTCAAGGAGACTTCATCAGGCACCTAATGGATTTGCTCAAGTAAGAAGGCTCTTTAGATGATTTATTAAGTGTACAGTGGATTTCATCATGATAAAGAGTCTTACAGGTTTTGTCTAAAAGAGCAAATGGCATTAGAGGAAGGTTTGTTGAAGTCACGTGGGACATCTGAAAAGGTGAAGTTGTCACATTGTCACAGTGAAGCCCCTTTATTCTGCTAGTTCCGTGCTTTGTTCACAAAGGCCCATGTGCCTCGCGGGCGCTGGCGCCGGCGCCGACATTGCTGGTGTCTGAGGGGCACGTGGCGTGGTCACGGTCAGCCTAGTCTCAGTTTGAGTGGAGTCTGGAAAACAAATTGTATGTTTTAAAACTGAGCTGCTGCTTCCATAGTTTTGGTTTACATTGTTTCCTGTGAAAAAACAAAAAACTTCATCAAGCAGGTCCTCCTCCTCTTTCTGTCTTGTTCCATGAGGTTTCCCAGGCGCCTTCCCTTCCAGGAGCCCGTGGGGTCCCTCCCCACCCCGCCCCCTGCACCGTGCACCCAGAGAGACGCAGACAGCTGTGGACAGAGCCTGCCACGCCCGGCTCTGGGCCCAGCAGTCGGGCACAGCGTGGGGCTCGGGCTCGTAGGGATGGAGTGGTCATTTCTGGTTCCCTTTTGGACCCTCAGTCACAACCGAGTCCGGTTCGGTAGATCTGGGCCGGAGCCGGGAGTGGGGGGAGCAGGGTGCAGGGCGGTGCAGGCAGAGGTCGGCAGGCGTTTCTCGTGGAGCGTGGAGGACCCCGGCACGCACGGGTCAGATCGCGTAGCTGACCGGCCGCGTCTGCCTTGTGCGGGCTTTTAACAGTAGGGGCGCCTCAGTCTTGCTGTGAAATGAAAGTTTACGTCTTCTCAAAGGCGTGTTTAAGTTTCCAGTTTTAAAAGGGGGAGTGCCCACCGTCGCTAACTCGCCTTCGATGGATTTGAGTGGAGCAGACGTGGGTCCTTTTTCACACGTTCCCACGTGACGCTGTGCTGCCGTGAAGCAGAGTTTATGTGCGCGCAGGGCAGGGGGTGATGGGCCGTGCTCCCGACTCGGCGCTCGGTCACAGACACGTCAGCTCTGCGTTCGGAAGCCCGGGTGTCCTGGGTGTCGGCAGCCCCGAGGGAGTGTTTGCAGGCGGAGCAGTGGGCGCAGCCTTTACCATCATGACGTCCGCGCGTCCAGCATGTGACCCGGCAAAGCCCTGCCCCGCCGGAGAGACTGGGTCGGGGGAGCTCTGTCCGGGGACGGTGCTTTGTGCCGCTGACGCTAGTCTTACATTTGAAACCGTATTAACACGGAGGGCATGTTGAAGTATCTTCCATTTTAAGCCGAATCAAAATTAGAAATTTTGAAGAATTTTTTAAAATCTATTTTATTTTTAAAAAACATTTTGAGGTGGGGTAATTAGGTTTCTTTATTTAGTTACTTTAATGGAGGTGGTGGGGCTTGAACCCAGGACCTCATGCACGCTGAGCAAGCGCTCCCCCGCTGAGCTGTCCCCTCCCCTCAAGAATTGTTTTACTTCCCAGAGCACGTGATGAAACTTGCAGTTAATTCTGTGAATCTTATTTACCATGTTGTATTGGCTCCATTTGTCTTTTTAGTTTTTATAATTTGAACTCTTCAAGATTTTACAAAGCTCATTGAGAATTCAAGTAACATTCTCTTTTATTTTCCAAAATCTCTGTAAAGACCAGAACTCGTCCGCCCAGCTACGACTTTGTATCAGCACAACCTGACTGGGATTCTTGAAACAGCTGTCAGAGCCACCAACGCCCAGTTTGACAGCCCTGAGATCCTCAAAAGACTGGATGTGCGGCTGCTGGAGGTACCACACCCTGGGTTCCACGCGGGGACCGAGCCCCCCGTGGCGCCAGCGCCTTCCTGCGAACGTCTTGGTGTGCTTCGAGGCACTGCCAGTTCCACCCAGTCTAGTGGGAGGCACTGGCTACCCAGAGTTTGCACCCCTGCCCTGGCGCCTGGCGCGCTCTCAGACGGGTCCTGCCCCCCGGCCAAGTGCTCGCCTGGGGCAGGGCCCACAGGGCTGGGGCGGGGACGCACACTCTGGTCCCTGCGCCAGGTGCTCAGCAGCCACAGCTGTTGCTGCTGGGATGTCACGGGCATGGAGGGAGGTCGCAGGGGCACTTACAGGATACAGACGTGTGTGGGTCCAGTTTGACCGGAGGTGACTGTGGGGGACATGAGTGTCATAAACACAGCACACTGTCTGCTGAGCTGTGACGAAGGGCCGTTAGCAGAGCCTGTGGGTTTTAAGGGATGGTTACTTGCAAGGATTTGGGACATACGACGCAGTGGGCTTTTGACATTTTAAAAAATGGTGATGAATTTTAAAGAGTCTACAATAGTCATTCAAAGATATGCCCTTCATTCTGGAATATTTGCCGAGCACCGGCTGTGTGCCAGCCACCGACTGTGTGCCAGCCACTGTCGAGATGCTGAGGGCGCAGGAGTGGCCAAAGGGTGCCGCTCCTGCTCTCGCGCAGCCACTTGGAACTGTGGAGTGGTGGCTACAGATGGGGCTTCATGTCGACTCCTTTCCTCTGATGAGTCGCGAGCGTGCGGCAGTGAGCTGGCATGGGCGGGAGGTCCTCCAGCTCTGTCTGTTCTTGCTCTCAGGTCTCTCCAGGTGACACCGGGTGGGACGTCTTCAGCCTGGATTACCACGTGGACGGGCCGATCGCAACCGTAAGGTCCCGCTGGGCGTCTGCAGAGTAGCCCAGCTCTGCAGCTTGCTGAGCACCCCTGAGAACCTCCCTTAGAGTGATCGCCTGACCTGTGGGCGGCACCCCCTGCAGGAGTGCTTAGGCAGAACTGTGTGTGTGTGTGTGTGTGTGTTTTAAACAGTCCCTAGTGAGCGCTGCAACGCTTTCTTGTTTTAAGAATTCTCAGAAAGACCATTTGTTCCATCGTGGGTTTCAGCAGGTTCTTAGTAAACGGATCGTTCATTTTGCTCCGTTGTTCTTAGGCTGCAGTGACTGATCGAGGGTGACTTGAAAGGACTATAGATTGTATTTTAGGGAAGTTGTGTTTGTGCCACGTGGGTAAAGTTTGGTGTCTGGCATTCATTTGAACTGATGGGAAAACAGCTGTACTGTTGCTCCTCGTGCTTTCACTGGACAGAAGGAAAAGTGCGACTTCCTGAACAGTTACCAGACCACAGGAGTGACCAGCGGAGTTGTCTTGTGTGTCTGCAACTAAAATGCCCTCTTGAGATGCCCATTCTTTCTTTATTCAGACTTGAGTAAACTCCTGCCAAAGAGATAGCTCTTCGCACTTACTTCATTTTCACATCTGAAATACTGAGGAAGAACATGCATTTCTTCTAATTATTGAAAAATAACTCTGTTAAGAAGTAGGATAAGGTGGCTGTAAAATTTCTCCTGTGCGGCTCTGGCGGGTCTGAGTCCCCGGCTGTCCCCGCACCTCGGGGTGCCACCCAGTCACCCCCAGCCGGAGCGCTGCCCCAAAGTGCACGTGGCGTGGTCCGCAGAGAACCCCGTGGCCAGCGTGGGGGGCTGCTCACGCTGGAATAGCGCCGCGGCTCACCTGACGCTCAGACTTAACTGTGCGGCCTGTGTGTTTTTTTGCTAAACCTGGCTGCTATAGGCGGGACAGGGGCCTGGAAGGCAGGTCTCGCCCTGCTGCCCACACCGGGCTCATCTGGCGGAAGTTGAGACTTGAGAAGCAACAGGTGCGTGTGTTCAGTAACCTGGGGGCCTCTTCTCAGCCTGGAGATGCTGGGCCCACCTTCCCTGGGGGCCACCACCCGCCTGTCCCTCAGGTGGGCTGAGGGAGGACATGGCGCGGTTGGGAGCTGGAGCTGGGAGTCCACGTCGTAGACTAGGTCTCGGCTGGGCTGAAAACCCCCTCGTGAGCTGTGTCGTGTCAGGCCTGCTGCCCGTCTGTGATTTGGCAAAAGCATCTACCTTCTGTTACTGTCAGTTTGCCTGAGGTGTGCTTGGCACACGGATGATCGGTGTAGCTGTTACATAGAGACCTTTCCCAAAATGGACCACGTCGGTTGCCTGCGTAGCACTTAGAATTTGTTCGAGTTGACTGTGTGTTCTCTTCTGACGCCGCAGGTGACGGCAGCCCGCGTTGTTCTCTGCAGGTGTTTACCCGGGAGTGCATGAGCCACTACCTGAGGGTGTTCAACTTCCTGTGGCGGGCCAAGCGGATGGAGTACATCCTCACCGACATCCGCAAGGGACACATGTGCAACGCGAGGCTGCTGAGGGGCATGCCAGGTGACCCGCGGGTGGGGGGCAGGGGTGGGTGTGCCAGGCGACCATCGGGCGGGGGGCGGGGGGAGGTGTGCCAGGCGACCCCTGGGCAGGAGGGAGGGTGGAGCGCCTGGCCTGCCGTCCTCCACTCAGCAGAAATCAGTGTTCTTTCAAGGAACTGAAAGAGTCCTTTTTGTGCTTTTGGATTTGGCTTTTTTTGAGGAGGCTCGTTTTTAATATTCCATAGCTTGACTTCAGTGCAAATTGGGGAAAAATAATTGCGTTATTTGATTTTTTTTTTAAGACCATGAAGTTTTTTTTAAGAATCGCGTTTGTTTTTCACTCTAGTATCTGTATACGTACTTTAATTTCAAAATTTTTTTTAAGGAAAGCCATTTAATGGATCACTGGCTCATTTAAAATTCACTTCGTGTTTTAATTAGAGTCTGCTGGGCATTGCTTGAATGTTTTGGTTCATCAACCAGGACATGGAAAGATTTTATAATATTATTTCATAATTAAAAGCTGTAATAAAACTCTCACATCAGACAGTCAGGTTTATTTTAATGTTATAAATATTGAATGACTTCAGTTATGAATAATTTTGAAATCTTTATACTGAAACTCATTTGGTCAAAACCTTTGAGAAAGTGTTTCAGCAAATACAGCTCCGAGGAGGAACCAAACGCTCTCACTCGCGATCCTTTGGTTGGTGACAGCAGTTACTAAAGCAGGTGCGGTTCTTGGCAGGGAGGCCTCCACGCCTCTGCCTGTTTCCTGGCCGAGCCTGCCCTTGAGCAGCTCCCGCCTCCAGGGTGGTGACCCCAGCCACCTGGACTTTGTGTCCCTGCGCGGCCAGACCGCTGGGTTGTGAGGGGTCCCCTGCTGTCGCCTAGGTGGTTCCTGGCCGCCCCTTCTCTGGCCGGCGCCTCCCGTGCTGCGTGGCTTAGCGGCGGGCGGCCGCTGTGCCCGCCTCCCTCTGGCCGCACGCAACGTGTGCAGCTGGTTGTGGAGCTGTGGGAGCTCGCTCTCTGGAAGGATTTTAAGGAGTGGCTGCTTGTGATACGTTTTTCTGGTTTGAACCAGCTTTGCAGCGTCTACATGAATTTGCTTTTCTCTTGTTCTGAATAATCAGCGGTGAGTTTTGCTTCCTCCCTGAAGGTGACTAATGCGTGTATTTGGTCAGTTTTCTGTGTGACTTTTAACATGACTGGACCCCGTTACGTCTGCTCCGTTCCGCTTCTTCCACTGAGCCTTTATTGTTAAAGCTTCTTCTAAGATCTCTTTAGTGGCATTGTACTCCTCCTGCGAACGTACGTTCTACCTTTTCTCTTTGGCTGGGCATGTAGGTTTAAAAAATTTTTTTAAAAATTTCTCACTGTTTTTCCACTAGTGTAAATAATGCCGTAAGCGTTTCGTAAATGTGTATTTATATGCCTCTGAGTATTTCTTTAGAATAGGTGAATTGGAAATGGATTGCTGGGTTAACAGGTATGAATTTTAGTTTTGTTTTTTATTTACTCATACTTACATCTAGCAGTATTTACGGTTTCCCTCTGGTGCTGTCAGATTGCCTTTCAGGACAGTTGTGCCAGTCACATTCGCCTAAGCAGCTCTCACTGGTTGAAAGTCATCTGTGTTGCTGGGGCTTTTGGCTAACACTGGACGTTATGTTCAAACCGATTGTCAATTTGATAGGTGAAAAGGGAAGTCATTTTAATTTTTTTAATGCTTTAAAAGTGACCTTTGAATGTAAATGCTTCTTTTTAACCATTTGTGTTTCTTTTTTCACAAAATTGGTTTTTTTGCCCATATTTCTGTAGGGGTGCAATGTTCTGGCCTTTAGTCTGTAAGGAAACGTTTTAAAGTTGTTAGTGGCCAGGTAACTCCGTGAACAGAGATCAGCCAGGTCGTCAGTCGTGCTAACGCAGCAGGTTTAGAAGTGCCCCGCAAGCCCTAAGTCTGAGGCAGAAGCCCAGGAAGTTTCCACAGAGTGCGCCTGTGAGCCCCGTGGAGTTCCCGACACAGCACGCCTGTGTGGGTGTTTGGTCACGTGCGCAGCATCGCTGATGACCATCCCAGGTGCCATTTTTAAAATAATATTCATCAGAATAAATTCTGTGAAGTAGTTACACTTGGAAATGATTTGCTTAGAGCAAGAGTTTTTGATAATAGTCCACCAAGGAGATTAAACCCATGGTTGTACATACTTGCCACTTAACTGTACAGAAAAAGGTTATTGATCTGAAATGGCTTAAAGATCTTTCTTCTCGTGGTGTGGAGTTTATTACATTGAGTTAATCTAAAAAGTATTGCTGTTAGTGGCAACTAAATCTGTATTTCAAGTGACCTTGAGTGAAATGAGAGACAAATACAGGTTCCAGGCGGAGGGCTTGCCGCGCCCTTCCTCAGCCTCGGGGGG